TATATGGGGCCGGTGCCCTACTCACTGAGCCACAGGTGCCGCCCATGAAAGCCTTTCTAAACAGAGCTAAAGATATAATCAAGTGCCTTAGGTTTGAACTCTAGTTTTAGGAAAGAGATTGAGTGGCCAGGTGTGACACTGAGAGCACCAGCAGCTGAACTGGGGTACTGCTGGAGTGAGATGTTTCCTGGGAGGCCCCTTTGCTTATATCTCTGTCACTGGATCCTCGTTGAACCAAGTTCTGAAAGCCTCCTAAATTGACCCCACTCTCCCCATGTTCATTGCTCCTGGGTTTTAGAACTTCATGCCGCCCTGGCCTCCATAGTGGTTCCTTTGCGGCGAGATTTCCGTCGTCCAGGTTATATTCTACAGAGCTGCCAGTGCTGGTTTCCTTTCTAAAGTATAGACCTAGCAAAACTCCCCTTCTGAGAGGTGCATACCTCCTGCTGCTTACAGTGTAAAGTTCAAGACCCTCAGGATGGCTTTGAAGACATTTTACAACCGGGTTATCCCCGGCAAGGCTCTGGGCCTCATCTCCTGTCCAGATGCGCGTAACCCAGCTGCCCTGGACTCCCTAGAATTCCTAGTGCAGCACCTATTCTCATGTTCCTTGTTCTTACTCTTTTCTTTCCCTCTGCCTGGATCATCCTTTTCTACCCTGATTTCCTTTACTGCCTTATGAGATCCCTCCCATTCATTCTTTAGGGCCCAGGTCAAATACCGTAGGACCTCTGTAAGGGGAACGCCTGAGGGACTATAACAAACTGGTCAACATATGGAGGTGGTCAACATAATCCAGTACTCAGATATAATTCAGTACGTGCAGTACATGTCTGGTTTGTGAAAACAAGGTCCACTTAAGGAGGTGGTCAGCAAACCTGAGAGTCCTCTCCCCTCTAACCCTGTCAGTCCTCTGTTCTGCTGTGGAGTTACTGACTTTCCTAAACCTGTGCTCATACTTCTGTAGACGTTTCTCACACTGGGTTTGCTTGTTGTGTCTGCATTGCCACTGGACTGTGTGCTTTTCACCACTGAGCACACGGTAAAGCTGGATAAGTCTCACAGAAAGGGTCTCCCCATCGTTCCCTTTAGTTAAAATGGTTGACCTTGGTATGGGACCCTGCATGATTTTTCAAGTGGGATTTATTTCATAAATTTTTATTGCATATTCTTAGAGACTGTGTGCTAGTCACGAAGGGAAAAGTGCAAAAGAAAATAATTTAATCACAGTTTCTGGCCTTACGGAGTTTACCTTATTTATAATGGGTAGACAGAAAGGCCCAGTGAACAGATACCTTGCTGTGCTTACCATCCAGGTAAATGGGTCGTTAACTGGTGTTCTCAGGATGTGTTTGACTTTCTTCTTTTTTTCTTTCCTTTCTCAGTGTTAGAGATTGATTTTGCGGAGCTAACCCTGGAAGAGATTATTGGCATTGGGGGCTTTGGGAAGGTCTATCGTGCTTTCTGGATAGGGGATGAGGTTGCTGTGAAAGCAGCTCGCCATGACCCCGATGAGGACATCAGCCAGACCATAGAGAACGTTCGCCAAGAGGCCAAGCTCTTCGCCATGCTGAAGCACCCCAACATCATTGCCCTCAGGGGGGTGTGTCTGAAGGAACCCAACCTCTGCTTGGTCATGGAGTTTGCTCGTGGAGGGCCTTTGAATAGAGTACTATCTGGGAAAAGGATTCCCCCGGACATCCTGGTGAACTGGGCTGTGCAGATTGCCAGAGGGATGAACTACTTACACGATGAGGCAATTGTCCCCATCATCCACCGAGACCTTAAGTCCAGCAACAGTGAGTATGAAGAGACAGGGCTGGAGGGGCAGAGAGCAGTTGCAGACTCAGTCTGTGGCATCCGGAGGAGTGGATTCCTGGTGGACTTCAGGGGACAGTGAAAGTCCTTGCTCAAACACATTCCATCCTTAAGTTGAGAGGTGTGGGGAAGACAGGAGAGATTGGTTTGGGAAGAGAGGAATGAAGTACTAGGGGGGTTGACATAATTTTGAGTTTATATCAGCAGGGATATTGTGTAGGCATTGTGTAATTCTGATATTCTGTGCAAAAAATATACAGACTTATTTTTCCACTTGAGGGAAGTGTGTGTGTGATCCCAAGAGGGGTTTTCCTCTTTGTGGAACAACAGGTAAAGCAAACCTACACTGCCTGTTTGAATTGTTCCCTACACGCCTCAGTTTGAGATACCAGGCACAGAAGGGGCTATACGAAGAGAAGGCATATTTTTTAAACTGGGGCCCGATTCTAGTGGCAAGTGCCCTTGGGGAACGTGACCTGGCTGGCAGTGTTACAGACCTCCTGGTAGCCAGGAGTGGTATTCATTAATTGCCATAACTACCTAGTGTTTAATAGCAGGGAACTGAGAAGTAACTGTTTATTAAACATCCAGAATCTATAAACTGGGTTGTAAAGCAAGTGTTAGATATAATTAAATGGTGAGCTGGGAGAAGCTTCAGCCTTTCTCGTCAGCTGAATCAGCAGGACAAGGAACACGCTGCTTTTCTGGGCTAGTTTGATCTCTCTTGCCTACCCTGACTGGGGGAGAAGATAGCATTGTTTAATGTGCATCAAATCGCTTTGAGCATCCTGTCCTGGAGAGGAGGGCATCTGAGTTGCAGGATTTGGGGGGTGTTAAGGGCCCCAGGGACTGCATTCTCTCTGCATCCTTCAGCTTTGAGCCTAGAAATACTCCAGACTTTGTTTCATATGTGGCTTTTCTGTTGATGCTTTTGTGAATCTGTTTCCTTTAAAAAATATATTATAAAATTATGTTAAATAATTGTTTGTTGTAGAAAAATTAAGAGGTGTGGGTAAAAAGAAAAGAGAGTTCTTTTTCCAAAATGTTTTCCCTTAAGAGAGAACAACTATTATATTTGGCATATCTTTCTAGACATTCGTATAGTTATAAACCATTTCATTTCTGTGGTTTATGAATATACGAATATTCTGTTCAGTTTACTTTAAAAGAGCATTTTTACCTTTATGTCTTCCATCTGCAACCTTCTCCCCTATTAATAACAGAAAAATTCCTCCTTGCAAAAGTATGGAAGTATGGAGTGTTAGGTCCATACTATAGAGATGATGCCTGTGAAGGATTTGAGTTACTTAAAGTCGGCTTCTCTTTTCCCTTCAGCATTTTCCTGTCTCTTTATCATGTGTTTATTTGCATCTCCCCTCTGGAATTCTATTTAAGTATATTAAATAAATTAAAGCTTTTGGTGATCCCATTTCAAATAATTTCTACTTAGAGATTGCTTTGGATGATAGAGCAAAAAGGAAATGTCTTGAGGGGGCTGGGGACAAGGTGTATGGCACAGCCCTTGGGGGCGGGACACAAGTTTAGGAGGGACTTTATCTAACAAATGCAGTCAGTGTAACCTAATTCTTTGTACCCTCAATGAATCCCAAACAATTAAACAAAAAACAGTCTAGGCAAAAAATGTGATAGGAGCTTGGTGCCTGTGGCTCAAGTGGCTAAGGCGCCAGCCACATACACCTAAGGTGGCGGGTTTGAATCCAGCCCGGACCCGCCAAACAACAATGACAGCTGCAACCAAAAAATAGCCGGGCGTTGTGGCGGGCGTCTGTGGTCCCAGCTACTTGGGAGGCTGAGGCAGGAGACTCGCTTGAGCCCAGGAGTTGGAGGTTGCTGTGAGCTATGATGCCACAGCACTCTACCCAGGGGGACAGCTTGAGGCTCTGTCTCAAAAAAAAAAAAAAAGAAAAGAAAAGAAAAATGTGATAGGGATGCTGAATTCTCCTTTTTATTTTTTCTGATAGCCTTGTACTGGGAGACGTAGGCAAAATGCCATAAGGTTACATAATTGAGCCTTGATGAAGGTTTGAATTTGAGTATGATTTCAAGCTATATGTACAAGGTTGTACCTTTTATGAGGTTTGTGTTTGGAAGTCTAAGCTCTTGTGAAGTAAAACTACCTTGTTGCCGTTCTGCTGATTGCAGGAGAGGGCAAGAGACCTGAATGTCATCCCGTTTTCCAGGAAGCCACACTCTGGCCCTTTCTTTACGTGGGTTTTGGGATTGCCAAGGGGGAGTCTTCAGGTGCAGTGTGTTGTGGTAGGAGTTGGACTTACACATTGGGTAGTGTTTTAAAGGACCTTGTCAAGACAATTAATGCCCAGAGATGTGCATGGTCCATGGGCCACAGCGTGGGTGCTGCTGCTGCTGTCAGTCTCACGTGGGAGTTGGGGTGGCACCTTGGAATTTGTAGTTGGATGTTTGCCTGGGATTGTACACATCCAATTTGAGCTTCAGTGACACATCCTTCTCACTCCATTACGGTGTGTACACGACTTGGAAATCACTTTAGAAACGTTATGCCACTGCTTTACCCATTGCCTCCCATTTGGGAGTCATAATTTCTTTGTGTTTTATAGATATTGGAACCCTGGCCTGTTTTCAGAGGTTCCAGAGAATTGGATTTTCGTTATTGTCATGTGAGGGCAGAATACTAGGAATTTATATGTGTTAGTTGCCCTTGAACCAAGAAAGAAGAATGTGTCTTTGTGGGAAAGAGAAAGTACTTGGTGATAAACATCTAGCCGTTATAAAGGTTCAGCAAAAAGTGACTTATTAAAATGTTTTATTATTCTAGTGACCTACTTTAAAAAGTCATTTGTGGTTTACTGGCAGTGAAATATGTA